TTTGGCGAGTTTAGAAACAGGTGCCAAAAACCTCTATATTTACGTCTGAGAGGATTCTAAAAACATGATAGTTCGTTCCAACAACTTGTTTTGCGTTTGACTCCAACCTTGGACCAACTTACACTTGCTCATTCAAAAGCAGAAATCAGAAAAGGCATAATTACTCTGTAACAGCTTTGACATGAGTTCTAATTTTGCATGAGAATAAAAATCATTACACAGTTAATAAAATTGATTAGTTCACTGCAACATCTAAAATGGTTTGAACTAAGACACTTTGATTATCAACATTTGTAAAATAGTAATGATAATAAAAAGAGAGTGTTCTTTTCACTTGAATCTTCAAGAAAGAAAGTCTCAGGATGGGTGAACCTGCATTTCTGGATTCAAATCAATGAAATGACAGTTCCTGTCCCACAAGGTTCTTAAGGTCAAGATTTTTGACCTTAGACTTAGTTTTTGACATGGGCCTAGTCCACTACAATTGTGACATTTTGTCTGGAAAAACAAAAATACTACATTGAAAAACCAGTCGTTCTCACATTCACACCTAAGTCCATAATGTTCCCTTGAACGCTGACTTTAGCGCCAAAGAAAAATTCCTCACATTGTGATTGAAAGCAGATTTGTTTGTCTGGAAGTGAGACTGCAGAGATGGGAATGTTTTTAGTTTCTTTACGCGGCTGTTTCTGCCTCTTCACCGTTAAGTTTCTGTCTTTGTACCTGTGTGTTGTTCATGGCCTAAACAAGGTGAAGAATCCGGGCGATCGTTGATCCTATTTACGGAGTAAAGTGTCAGGAATTCACTGAGCTGGCTGGACAGGAGAAGACTTGGACATCTGTGTAACAGCTCTTCTGTGTCTTCCTCGTGACCTTGGCTCTGTGTCCAGTCTGGAGTCGGTGAATAGCGCCTTTCTGCTGGAACAGAACAGCCACAGACGTCTGCAGCAAAATAGCATCAGATATACAGGCGTGACAGAAAGCAGCACACATTATATAACCGCCTCTGTCACAGAACGGAGTCTGTCCTTCTGCTGGGCGCTTGCATTGTTTTTGCTCGCCCTCCATGTCTGCCTTCGTTTATAGAGTGATGTGAAAGCTGCAGACGGGAATAGTTCCCTCTTCCCCCGGCGTCTTCTCTTTGAGCAGAGATGCAGTGTGATGTGTCGCGAGTCGCGTTCTGTGGGAGGCCGAAAATAGTGCGAGTAAACAAACTGATCGGGTGGAAGAGAAAGAGAGTGAGAGAGGGAAGCATAGATGGAAACCAGAGGAAGGAAGGTTCGGGAGACTGTCATCACTCTTTATCTACTCGTGTGAAAGAATCCTTTTTGCTCCGGCCTCTCAGAGGTGAAACTCGACCCGTTCTCAGTGGATTTATGAATCGCGGCCGACTTTTATTCTTTCGGATGAATGGCTAAAAGCCAGAGGAAGCTTTACAATGAATAGACTCATTCTTCAGTCGTTCAGAGGGGAAGAGAGCAAACCTGATATTTGTGCACACGCAGCAGTCACATACCTCACACGCCTAAATACGTTCCACGAACGCTCCGCTAACACTTATTGAAGTATTTCAGCTGCTTTGGCACAGCAGCCTGCCATGACTGTTTGTTTTGTTTTATGCACATATGTGTGGATGTTGGTGAGGAGGGTCAGCTGTCCAAAGTTACAAAGAGCAGCTGCCTCCTCCAGCAAGAAGCTCTGATGACTGTGAGGAATGAGAAGAAGCTACGCTCGTTTTCTGTGAAATAAAAATTAGATAAAAAAAATAAGACTACTGGCTTGAAATGACTTATTTGTATATAAAAGGACTTCTCTTGAAATAAATGATTAACACAGTCACGAGTAACCCAAAGCCAGAGTGGTAAACTGGTCCACACCAGTTCTGCAAGTCACCTGTTCACACACAAACCCAGTGCTTGCATCATATTAGTCTGTTCTGTTCAGCTCAGACCTGCTGTCTTTATTAAGGATTTTTGCTTTAAATTGTTCTTTTTTTTTCTATTTTGCACTTTTGAACAGTTTAATTTTTGAGTTACTGAATGTTCAAAAAAAATTTTTTGTGAGGGCCTACAAATTCAAAAATCAAGGAGATGTTTTAACATGCACATGAACTCAGAGCGATTAACAACTGATATATTGCTTTGTGGAAAGCTTGTCGATTGACTCGAGTTTGGAGAAGTTTAGTTTAATTCCGACAGGACTGATGAGCTAATGGCTAGTCGGAACAAGAGCAAGATCGAAGCAGATTGATGCTGTCTTAAAACAACTCCAGGATCCAAAATGTCAAAGTGTTTCGTGTGATTCTGTGTTATAAACTTAGTACGGTCATCATTTTAACATTACATGGTCATTCTGACAGCCATGTTAGCTGCTGCGATCCACACCTGCAAGTAACCATGCAAATATTCAGGCATTGCGTGTATAAAATATTTGCTGCCATTATTTAATCTGTTCCTCCTCAAACTCGCAGTTTAATCCTTTTTTACAAACTGAGGTTGTAAAAAAACACTATCTACAGCAGGTAAGATAGTAATTGTTCATAAATTCTCCAAATATTGAACAAAAATCCATATTTACATTGACAGCAGGCATTATGCACAAAGCAGACAATCATATAGAAACAAAAAACAAGGGCTTACGTCCTGCAGGACTTCACGTTTGGCTCATTTATTCACACGAGGCGACGTTTCGAGCAAGGCTCTTCATCAGAGCTTTTACATTTTCAATAATATTCCACTTCAGTTTATTTTTTGTTTGAGGAAATCTCATTGATTTAGAGATTTGTTTCTAACCCATTGTTTTGACGAATATAATGCATGAGGATTACAGACTTCTTTAAGCTGCAGGTTAGACTTGTCTGGGGGAAAAACATTTAGATGGATTCATGCCAGAAGAGTTTTCTGTAAATCTCTGCTTAAAATATGCAGCGTATCAAAAACTGCAGGCTTGAGTTGTCAGTCGCATCAGATTAGGTCTGAATCAGACGTTAATTGTCCAATTTGAGCATGGCCTTTGTTTTGTTGGCCATTCCTTTATCATCAACAATAGGAGGAAAAGCAGTTTCCTTTTGGTGTACAATGAGGACTAAATGAAGGCAGGAAGGAAAGTCACAGTTGTCAAACATCACTCTTCAGTGTTTGAGCATGAGAAGGGTTTTCCTCTGGACTATGACCCAATATGGTTGTTGTCGAACATGAAGACGATCCAGCAGGTTTTAATAGACCGTATGACGTATCACTTAAATCCAAAGGTCACTTTTTAATTGTCAAAACATCATATTATATCAAAGTTCATGCTCAATAATCCAGGTAAAAAAAAATCGAACGAGGTTAAGTCAGGTGCTCTGGATGGTTTCTTTTTGCTGAAACGTTTCGTCTTTCATCCAAAGGACTTCATCAGTCCGAGGAGCTACAACAAACTCAGTCCCACAAGCAGCACGCTCACATTGTCACCAGTTTGATGGTGATAAAATGGTTTCTGGAGTCTGACTTAACTTTGATGGATTCTTTTTTTTTTACCTGGATTATTGAGCATGAACTTTGATGTTTTGAACCACTTTGGCTATGGATGCCGCAGAAGAATCAACGGGGAGAGAAGGCGGACTCCAGAAACCATCTTTTCACCAGCAAACAGATTGGTCCACTGTGGGAGTGTGCTGCTTGTGGGACTGAGATTGCTGTGGCTCCTCAGATTGATTAAGTCCTTTGGATGAAAGACAAAACGTTTCAACAAAACAAAACCGTCCAGATGACCTGGCTTAACTTCGTTGGATTTTTTTTACCTGGATTATTGATCATGAACTTTGAAATCATATTATAATCAGAGCTGTGTACCCACAGTGATATTTATATAATTTAGCTCAGTATTTAAAGCCTTTGTGACCCAAATGCAATGTGTGGGAATGCAATAACAAGGTCTGACTCACTGGTCCAGTCTGCGAGGGTCCATTAGAGGCTCATTTGAAGACCCACACCACCAGCTCTCATATTGTTTGTGCCCAGCAGAGCTGTCACAGAGGAACCTCCATAAACCTGGTTAATTTCCTGAACCCCTTCCTCCCCTCTATGTTTATCCCTCCCTGAGCCTCTTCTTTCTGGGCCCTTCAGAGCAGGTGAGATGATATTGAGTTGCATGAAATCTGACCTGCACAGCTGCACCCTTTCTTGTTTTCTATGAAGCGAACACAAACGCAGAAGCTGGTTTGTCCTCTGCTGAGAATCAGCCTTTGAGTCGTCTGTGAATGAAAACACTCCTCTGTCTGAGCGGAGACAGGGTGGGGGTGGGGTGGCGGTGGATGCGAGACAACAAAATAATTCAACAAAGTTCAGTCAGGTCCTCCGGATGGTTTCTTTTTCTTGTCGAGACGTTTCGTCCTTCATCCAAAGGAATTCATCAGTTCGATGAGCCACAACAAACTGAGTCACACAAGCAGCACAGTCCCATAGTGAACCAACCAGTTTGCTGATAAGATGGTTTCTGGGGCCTGCCCTCTCCCCTGTCTACTATGTGGTTTTGCTGCTTGTAGGACTCAGTTTGTTGTGGCTCTTCGGACTGATGAAGTCCTTTGGATGAAAGACAAAACGTCTCAATAAGAAAAAAAGAAATCGTCCAGATGAGCTGACTGAACTTTGTTGGATTTTCTACCTGGATTATTGAGCATGAACTTTGACAACATGTTGCTGTGTTCATGCATGCTCATCTGTTCAACGTAATGTTTTTATGCTATTAGTGCTTAGTGTATTTTTAGTTTATGTTTTTCTCAGTTCATATCTTAGATCTTATTATTGTTTTTCTTTTACATTTTATTGTTGGATGTAACCGGGACCCTGTGTACATAATCTCATTCCACCACATGTACCACATGAGATGCAAATGACAAATAAACCGCTCTGACTCTGATCTTTGCACCTCAGCGCAGGTGTTCTCCTTCACAGCTACTTTTGTAAATTTAAAATGTCCAAGATGTAATGAGTTAATTAAGGTGTTAATGTGCTTTTTAGAAATGAGCGCGCTCGCTGGATCAGTGCTCTGGGCCAGAATGTCAACAAGAAGAAGAGTCATGATAGAACCAGTAAGCTTTTTAAATTTAGCTTACTGCGCCACCTTGTGGTCAAGCAGTGAAACAACTCCTCATTGTCATAAGATTTTGTTCTGAAATGAATCTGAAATGATGCACAATGCTGTTTTTGTTTGTTTTTCCCAGACATCATCCAGGTGGAGGTGATCAGAACCTACACAGCGAAGCAGCCGGATGAGATGTCTCTGCAGGTGGCTGATGTGGTTCTGGTGTCGCAGCATGTGGACAGTACGTACCCTGCGTTTTGATATTCTCTCGTGCTCTTCCTGCAGCTGCACTGACTGTTTTTTTTTTTAATTTTATTTAATATTCCTCTAATTTTCCCCCAATTTTTCACCTCTACTGCCTCCTTTCATCATGCACTCCCACTCTCCGCCCCCTTTTACCACGGGTCTCTTTGGCGTAATAAACCTGATGTGTTTGAAGTTTTACATCTATATGCTCCGAAATAAAGTACATTTTCAGTTTTGGTGACCATAGCAACTGGCTCTTCTTTTGTTTTGGGGCTAAAAGAACAATCCAGATGTAAACAGACCAGAGTAAAGGTACAGTGCTGGAAGACGTTTCACTCCCTTCTCTGCCACATTTACATGTTTCAGATCATCAAACTAATATTAATACAAAACAAAGATGTGAGAACGTTACGGCCCCCTAAACCTACTGCAATAACTGGCTGCGCCTCCATCAGCGGCAGCAACAACGATCAAGCGTTTGCGATATCTGACGATGGGTTTTTCACATCATTGTGGAGGAATTCTGCTGCTGTTCTGTGGATCGTTGTCCTGCTGCAGAACCCGTGTGCTTGAGCTTCACATCATAAACTGATGGACATTCTCCTTCAAGATTTTAGAATTCGCTGTTTCATCAGTTACGGCAAGTCGTCCCAAGTTCTGATGCAGCAAAGCAGCCCCGACCATCACACTACCACCGCACTCCTTCCAGTCAGTTCATAGAATTTTTTCCCCAATGGTTTTGTGGGTCATCAAAATGGTTTTCAACAGATGTGAGACTTTGCCTTTGTGTTGTGTTTGCTCAGCGGTGGTTTCAGTCCTGAAAAATCTCCCATGTTGCTCTTCATCTCTTTCTTACTGTTGAATTGTGAACTCGGACCTTAAGTGAGGCCTACAGAGCTTTAAATGTTCTGGGTTTTCTTGGGACCTCCTGCACGGGTCATGGATGCACATTTTTGGTCGCTTTGCCACTTTTGGGAAGGTTCACCACAGTTTTGCGTTTTCTCCATTTGTGAATAAAGAATCGACCTAGGTGATTTCTTCATTCTACAGGTCTGGTAGTAATTAGAACCCAGTGTGACTTGTTCAAACGAACTAATAAATCAGATAATACACCAATTTGCAAAGACCAACAAAGTTGACAGGTTATCTGAACGGCTTCTTTTTTGGTTGAAACATTTCATCCTTCATCCAAAGGACTTCATCAGTCTGAGGAGCCACAACAAACTGAGTCCCACACGCAGCACACTCCACAGTGGACCAATCAGTTTGCTGGTGAAAAGATGGTTTCTGGAGTCTGCCCTCATCCCCGTCGATTCTTCTGAGGCATCCATAGACAAAGTGGTTCAAAACATCAAAGTTCATGCTCAATAACGGGGAAGAGGGTGGGCCCCAGAAACCATTTGATCACCAGCAAACTGGATGGTCCACAGAGTGTGCTGCTTTTGGGACTGAGTTTGTTGTGGCTCCTCAGACTGATGAAGTCCTTTGGATAAAAGATGAAATGTCTCAACAAAAGAAAAATTCTGTCCAGATGACCCGATTTAACTTTGTTGGACTGATGAAGCCTTCTGGATGGAAGGTGAAACGTTTCAGCAAAAAAAGAAATGTCCAGATGACCTGACTGAAAATTGTTGGATTGTATACCTGGATTGTTGAGCATGGACATTTTTGGTTTTGAACTAGTTTGACATGATTGCCGACGAGGAAGAGGGCCAGCACAAGAGCAGGGGGTGTGTCAAAGACACCATCTTAGCACCAACATAACTGGTTTGTTCCATTTTGGAGTAAGCCGTTTGGGGGAAGAATCAATTTTGTGTTGTGTTTCCTTGACTGATGAAGCCTTCCGGATGGAAGGTGAAACGTTTCAGCAAAAAAAGAAAAACTGTCCAGATGACCTGACTGAAAATTGTTGGACTTTGTACCTGGATTATTGATCATGAGCAAAGAATTTCTTACTCGCACAGGTCCAGGTTGGTTTGGGGGTAAACGCTTTCTCACAGCACTGTCTGATGCAAACATTTCTCTTCTCAGGCTGGTATGAAGGCGAGCGGCTGCGTGACGGAGAGTGGGGATGGTTTCCAGCCGAGTGCGCCGAACAGATCACGTGCCAGGCCACAATCGAGCGCAACATGCAGAGGATGGATCGCCTGCAGGGGCTGGAGACGAACGTGTGACGAGACAATCGGCTTGACAAATGGTTTTTCCAGGCTGATGGCGACCTTTTGACACTCCAGTGGCCATGTTTTTTTATTTTTAAGAAATGAACTCTGACATGAGTTCAACAGTGGCCTGCCTTCAAAAATCCAGCTGTTAGCCAGATACCTGCTCAGCAACTAAACACCAGTCAGTTTCAGACTTTTTAGCGCCAACTCAGAGAGGAACAACAATTTTCTTAATTAGTGTGTGGGTCTGTGTGAAAAAGGGATATGTCACTTCACACCCCACAGCAAAAGCCAAAGTTTTAACACCCTGCTACATCACGACTGTCGGCGTGAAATTTTGTAAATGACTTTTTTCTAAGCATTCTTCACAAATGATGTGCAGCCTAATGAGGACGGCTGCTCTGTGGGAGGTAAAGTAGACCAATTAGTGAGAATTCAGCAGCAGCCTCGTTAACGAGGGTCGAGGGCCACGTGACGAGAAGCGTCACCAGCAACACCGAGATGTTGGTTGTACAAGTGATAAGGCCAGACTGGCAGCTCTTCAACAGAGTGATTCTGATTATGTAACACTGTTTATAATTGATTGGACAATTATTACAAATGATGGTCGTCAGGGACAAGCGATCAATCCTGAAACGAGAAGGGCCGAGTATCCAACTTGTCTATTGTCAACACTTAATGCCACCGCCATGAATCAGACTTGGGCATCTCAAGTATCGTTATTCTCTCTGTGACTGGAATGGCCAGAAATCACACTCTTGATGCCAGCGCACACTTTAAAAACACGTGATTTACAAAAAAAAAAAAAGTGTCTGCTGATGCTGAGAGCAGGACAGACGGGCGACCTCGCCTGGACCTGCTTTTAATGCAATTGTCCAGCGTGAGTCATCTTTTTTTTTAAGTGATGCCCAGCTAAATGAAATAAATGGCTCGACCAGAGGATGATGATAACACAATCTATCAAGCCCACAGCTCTGGAACCAAACCAGACGACAACCACAGATGATTCCAAAACACACAAACCGAGGTTTGGCACAAAACGAGACTAGAATCTCAGCTTTGCATCTGCTCTCAGGGAGAAAGAACTATTCGATAAAACTCATCTGAACTCTTCTTTCAGTCATTTTCTTTTCATGTAACTACTGTAAATCAGCTATGTATATATGTATATTATAGTGCATATAAAGTATTATGAAAACATCCTTGTGTATTTTAATCTTCTCCTGCTATTAAACGCCTAATTACATGAACATTGTTGTTTATCTTGAATCATCAATCATTCCTTGTAAATAATTTCCGCTTGAGACAATTTATTTCTGCAGTGATATCTGTGATGAATAAGTATTTGAGCCATTAACACGTCTTAAGTAGAAATAGCTAAATATGTTTTCTCAAACCAGAATAACTCATGCTCATCCATCATGAAGGTGACTATTTCAGGGTGACTTTTCATGAGACAGATGAAGCTTAGCAATGAAATGGAGTTTTTTTTTTTTTAAATGATTGCACAATCAACTTAAAGGAAAGTTTTGAACTTTTGAACTGAGCTTGTGAACAAATAGCATCTTGTTGTAGATAGCTCTCCAGTAGCATCACTTTAGACAAATAAAAGTTTTACTCATACCAGACTGACAAGCTAGTGGCTAGTCTGATAAGTCTGAGTTATTTACATAAAATGCTGTAGTTATTATCAAGTGTGTAGCACTATCTGTGCAAATTTGGGCATTTCCAAGAGTAATAATAAATTTATATAATTTTTATACAATTATGCAATATGAAACAAACAGTGGTTTATTTATTTTAGGGATGTACGATATTATCTGCATGGTATCGGTCGATATTAGCAATAAAGTTAAATATCGGACATGCCATCAAAATAACTTACCGATATAAAAGGCGCTGTTTTATATATATATAAATATATATATATATACCGTATTGTCCGGCGTATAAGTCGTGCCAAAGTATAAGTTGCATCAGTCAAAAAAGTATCACGAAGAGGAAAAAAAACAAGTCGCTTTGGCAAATGCGTTGCATTCATTATGCCCACCGCTAACCCGTCACATTTATTATGCGTTTAATGATCAAAACAACTTCATTTCGCCTGGGCAGCGTGGCGCCATCCATCCATCCATCATGGCCGGAGCTGCGGGCTCTCCAGCGTTCCTTCGCCTGCATCAGCCGAGTGAAGCGAGTGGGCACGGGAGGACTCGCTGTTACAGTTCTTCAAAATTTAACGCGTCAAGTCAAAAATTGTGTTATGAATATAGAAAAAAGTATATAAGTCGCTTCGGCGTATTAAGATGCAGGACAAATCTATGCAAAAAAACGTGACATATACACCAGAAACTTTTTTTAAAGGCAGTTTTTGTATGACAACCCAGTGACAAGGATGCCTGCAGTGCCAGCACAACGTTCTGACGTCACGCGTGTCTACCTGATCTGATCACGGCGTTAGAGAGGAAGAAGTGAAAATGTTGGTGGTGTGGAAGTTTTTTTTAAAGTGTCAGAAACTGATAGCATATATAATAGATAGTATATGTATTAATGCACTACTAATGCGCTTTTCACTTGTCGCTTGTGAACAGGTGGAGTTTAGATGTGTGAAAATTTACAAATGTGCACTGTTCAAGTGTTGTCGTGTTAGATTAAATGTCATGACTACAATTGACATTAAACATAATCCAAGTTGAAGTGTCATTTTCAGCCCCTTTTCGGCATCTGCATTTGGCAGCAGGTCAAATTGACAAAGACCGTGCAGAATATTGTAGTGTTTCACTTCCACAGCAGAGAACGCTATGTAGTCTCTGTAAGTAGGTCTAGGAAAAAAAATTGGTATTGTTTATCGGCCAAATAAGTTTTAACATATTGGCATATTGGATATCGTCCAAAAATCCAATATCGTGCATCCCTAGTTTGTTTGTTTTACTTTGGTCCTGGACTAGCAGTTTCGTCTTCAGTCCAGTCAGAATTAAACTATATTTCTCTAAACTGAAGTGATTCTAGGAGCCATTTATAACAAAAAAAGTTACTAAATGTTCACAACTTTTCCACAGAGCCCCACTTCAAAAGCTCTGAACTTTTCCTTTAAGGGGCGTTGACTGAAGAAAATGAGACAATTTCAAACAAAAAACAAACAAACACATAGCTACTGTGAGTCATGAAAGAAATATGTTGTTTTTAGTACTTTTCAGTCTTATGCATTCATCTTCAGCATCTCCCCAGGAGTGCTAAAGCTCAAACAAAACAAAACAAAACAAAACAACACGCTGCTGTCTTTTGATCATAAATATTCCAGCAAACATGTCTAAAGGTACAAGTCAGTCATCGCATTTTCTCGAACGTCTGGCTGCTTCTAATCATCGTCATCTTCGTCGTCATTGAAGAAAAACTGTCTTCCTCGTGGGGAAGACGCCCACGTCCTGTCGTAGTCTTTGCTGCCGCCTGTGGGCTTCTCCTGGGTGGTGATGAGGTCTATGATGGCCGTGATGACAGCGCAGTCTTTGGACTGACGGTTGTCCCAGTCCACAGGAGCTGGATTGCTGATTTTCTCCTCTAACAGTGAATCCAGCTCTTTCTTTAAACTCTGTAGGAAAAACAAGCAGGAGTTTGTCAAAGTAAACAAGGCAGATTAGTTGTTTTGAATGGATGCTTTGTCTACCTTAACAAGGTGAGCGATGCGTGCTGGGGACCTGAAGACAATCCACTGGTCAACCGCAATGGTCTCCTGGTCCCCGTCTTTCTGGATGGTGATGTCTCCTCCGAAGAACAGCAGCGAGAACGGAGACACTTCCGTGCAGTCGTACAAGAAGATCTGAAGGGAGACGGAGAGGTCGCTAGCACACAGTAACGGGAATATTACAACAGATCAACACACTCTGGGACAGGCGGTGACACCATTATGACACATCGTGTCCGACAGCCACTCTGTGGTGTGGGCTGAAAGTGTCCCATTAGTGAGGAGAGGATGTGCCAGTTTGAAATGTGTTTTGGTGCCTCTGGTGTTAGAAGAAATGTCATCTTGCCCCATCTGTGAATCTCCCTAATGTGTTACACTCTTCCATCCATTTCCCATGCTTTACTGACAGCTGCTTATGGAGAGCAGTTTGCCTCGACTTACCCAACATGAAAATGGATCTTCTGACTAAACGTCACGCTTGATCAAATACTTAAAATGCATTATTTTTGTTAAATCCATGTGACAAATATCAATAATGCCAAAAACAGTAGGCTATTTTAGTTCAAGTGCTAAGAATTCTTGCTCTCCATTCTAATAACATATTTTGCTAAATAGGTAGAGCCAAACTACCACTAGATTTACATTACTGTACCTGGTGGGCTGTAGGGTCAAAAAATACAACTAGTACACTGATGCCCCCCATTGCTGAGGGTTTTGAACAGTGAATGTTTATAGTTTTCGAGAAGTTTTTTCTGGACTGGAAATGAACAGGGAATGCAAGTAAACCTTAATGTTTTTGGTGCAAGATATTCACATGGGTAGGAGCTACATTGTGTATAAGAACAGAGGTAGTTGCTTTTTTTAATTTGACCGAGGTGGTGAAGAGTGACGGATCCTGGCAAGCAGATTTTTATACACCAATAGATGCAATGGCAGAGCCAGGGGGTGGCCAGTGGTGGCCTTGGCCACCATAGATTAATCTTCGGCCACCCCACTGATCACCCCAATCATTTATGGAAACTATACTTTTAAGCATATTGCTTATTTTTCAAGTTAAAAAGCTCACAAGATGAACTGGACGGGCTGATGGAGGGTATTTCCAAGTCCACTCTTTGTAAAGTGATGGGGGTAAAAACAAAAAGACAAACATAAAAGACCTTAACAAACACAAACACGGCAACTACAAGTAGTTACTTTTACAGATACTTCATGGTTCGACACGTCACACGATTGTCAACTTTAATATCACTTGTGATTGGGACAGTACGGGATACAGTAAAAGGTTAACAAAAAATAAAATACTTCGGACAGGCGCCACCCTTTTGTAGTTTACTCTCGATAAGCCTACACTCCATGGCCAGTCAAAAGAACTACGGTACAGTAGTCCCTCGTTTATCGCAGAGGATTCGTACCCTGAAGCCCCGCGATGTGAAAAACCGTGAAGTAGGAACAGTAGTACAAGTAGTAAGTGGTAATATATATATATATATATATATATAGAGAGAGAGAGAGAGAGATAGATAGATAGATAGATAGATAGATATTAAGGCATTTTAAACACTTCCCTCACTCTTGCAAATATTCTAAACAATGTTTCTAAATTCTAAACACTCTAAACGAGCACAGAATGTCATGATATCAGCTCTCTGCCACCTGTTAGTGTTCTTGGCCACGCCCACTTTGCTGCAGAGCGAAGATATGACATGCTGCAGGAGGAAGCTTCTCCCACAGCTGTGGACTGCACACAGGTGCAGCAGGTGCTAAATAATTGAAATTAATTTATTTTAAATAAAAATTCCATGCAGATCGTGTGGCTCATCCATCAATCAGCCAATTGTTTGTCATGTCCAATCTTATTTTGAAAAACCGCGATAGAGCGAGTCCGCGAAAAACGAACAGCGAAGTAGTGAGGGACTACTGTACCCAGAAGCCAACAGTGCTTCCAGCTGCGGTTTTCTGCTGAAATGGAGGGAAAGTTTTGATCCGATCTGAAAAAGTTTGGTCTTTATTCATAGTGACTTCGGCATTCAGTGGATGCAGAGAGCCATACGGAACTGACTGGGAATTGGACCAGGACTACTTACAGCCTCATCGGTCAATCTGAGAGCTGCTTGCTGGTCTAGTGTTTTCTCTAGAGCCCACCAGAACTTTTTTCATCCGGATCCCTCTGGATTATTTGGACTCGATTGGGACCATTGTGTGGTTTTTGTACTGGCTCTCCGAAGGGCCTGTGCACAATGGCTGTAGGAGCCGATCAGAACCGCACCAAGGCTGGTGAGAACCCATATAAAATTTTGCAGCATGTAGCTGCTCTGCAGTACATATACAGTATATATATGTATCTTGTTAAAATGACATGGGTTTAAGAGATCAGAACATTGCAAGAGTGTGGACAGGGTTTATAAAGCCTTACTATGTATATAAATACTAAAATAAATAGTATTCCTACTTCGCGGTTTTTCACTTATTGCGGGGGTGTCTGGAACATAACCTCCACGATAAACGAGGGTCTACTGTATTAAGATAAAACTTTGGTATGTTAGTAGTTGAGAGCGACTCCATGCACATAATTTGAGCACTAACAGAAAATGCAACAATTTTGTTAAAACCATTCAACAAAGGCCAGTTTTATCATAGCCTGTTTTGACAAGAAAACATTAACAATAATCATATTATTCAGTTTTATTTATATAGTCCTGTTTAACATGTAGAAGGTATTTTAGACCAAATCATAAAAAAAAAACACCCACAGGATTCTTTGAGCAGGCACCTGGTGGCGGTAAGGAAAAGACAAACGTCAAGCAAAACCATCATAAAGTAGAAACACTAACATGTAGCGTCAGATCACTGTGGAGGAGGCGAGAAGAACAAAAAGCTTTGAGCGCTCAGGGACGACTGTATTTACCCCATGAAAGTTTAATGTAATGAACCACCAGAGGGGAAGTGCGTCAGAGGAGATGAAGTTTAACGTCATCCCCCTTTTTCTGATTTTCTGTCTGCTTCCTCCTCTCTACGTGAGCACATAACCTTGAGATCCTCACATTCTCCAAACATCACACTTCATGAACACAAAAGTGCAGCACTGTGAACAGAAAGCATTTCAACGTGGTAGAAATAAAAATAAATGCAGCAAAAAATACTTTTCTACGCCGAGCCAGAGGCAGAAAAGTGGAAAACAAAGGCAGAGGCAGCTATTAGAGAGGCAATGAAAAAGGTGTTTTCTTCCAGAAGCACTCACATAAGAAGAAAGTACAAAAAAAAACCAAAGATGTTATATTGAAGGGAGGAAGAAACTAGTCTGAAGAGGGGTGCAAATAAAAAAGGAAAGGGTGAGAAGGCTGCAGTCAGAAAACAACATTGACCAGTTTGACCCCACAGCCACCTCTTACATTGTGTCTGGAAGCTTTGAAGCACAAGAGCCTTTGAGAGGCAGTTGAAAGGTAGAGTTTTAATCAAATATTCATTAAGTGCAAAACTGACGTGGCATCATCGCCAACCTTTGGTCACCGATACTTTCTATCCTCTCACAGGCGATGAGCTCAAATCCATTTTTACACACGGAAGCTAGAAATGTTCAGGAGGGCGCGCAGCTGTTTGGTCTGTTTTAGCAGTTTGCACACGTCCACAACATGACAGCTAGAAATGTGAGGTGGAGGAACTGCATATAGAGCTCAGGAGGTGGAACATGATTGCAAGGGAACCATAGTGGTTTCATGGTGGGAGCAGCAGAGGAGCCTCCTTCAAGGGTCAATCTTAAACGAACCAATCTGAAGGCAACAAGTAGGGAGATAAATGAAACACAGACTGACTCATCGATCCGCACGAAAACCTCCAGAAGCTTCGCCACGCTTCGTTTACCTGCTGTGATTCCTGGGAGTTTGGGTGGAAAATGTTGACCAGAAGGATCTTTAGAACATGTCAGGACTGAAAGTACCTTCAGTATGTGCAAAAATGACTAAATACATTTTATAAACCCCTCATGTACCAGTGTTGAAACAACATGCCTCTTGGTTTACTCACACTGCTCGTCCTCATCTTCAGGTGGTAAATAAGCCACGTGTAGTTGAACTCCTTCTCTTCGGCGTTGACGGATTTTGGGTGGATGCATACCTTTCCATCAGCCTGGGTGTACACCTTCACCCTGAGAAAGAGGAGAGGAATGAATGAGGAGGGCTAGTGATTGTGACCTTCCCTCTGAAACGCAACGTTTAAACAAACAGGAAGGTTTTAAAGTTCTAGCGTTTCAGGAGATGTTTATTATCTCAAGAGAAAAATGACTTGATCTCCACAAAGCAATAAATCTGGGATTTTATTATTTCTTCTTGCAGTGTATAAAAAATGAGAAAGTGTACACGATGCTCCTGGCAGCAACTCCTCTGGCAGCATTTAAATGCTGTTTTGTAGCAGTTCTTGTTTGGAGGATTTTTGACAATTTTTCCAGCAAAACGATTTAAATCCTGTGAGTTTCTCAGTAATAAGAAACTTATCCTCTACTGGATAAGATAAGATAGAACTTCATTGATCCTGCAGGAATATATATATAAATACTGTGTATATAGTTTTAATCTGCTTTTCATTAGTAGCCAAGTCAAAACCTTCACCTTGGACTTTTAAAGTTGTTAATTTTTTTTAAAATCTTTTTACAGATAGTCCAAAATGTTCATTTAGAATTTTAACGATTGAACTCAGTTCAGTTTCCTTCTAGAAGTGATCAGTTATCTGGGCCACCGGCTCCAAAGTGAGCCCAAAAGTACGATCAATCAACCCAGTCAGCTTCATTTGTTCAGAATCGTACGTCATAGTAGAAGCTCTCTCCTTTTTCAATGCAAGTCATAGAATTATAAACTTTAATAAAGCTTTAAAATGGTATTGACTAGTCTTTCTTAATGATGACAGTACAAAAGCCACAGGAGAAACAAGATGAAGCTCTCAGACCATGGTAAAGAGTATTTGTGTGTGTGTGTGTGGGGGGGGGACTGCACTTATTGAACATGTTGGATGAAAACAGTTTAAGTTTAAGGCCTTAGGGACCAGTTCATTTTAATTAGGGTTCTCAACCCTCTGCAAACCACTTTGCAGTAACTGACAAAATCTATAAAAGATTTAAAACTTCTTTTTTTTTCAGAGCACATTAATTTACAGCAGATACTTGGAAAACTTCAAGGAGTTTGAAGTGAGAACAGCTCATTTGTGTCAATATAATCAATATTTTTGAAGGACTACCTGCATACTGATAGGAAAAAAACAAAACAATCAGTAATATTACCACAACATCGTTGGATTGTTCTGATGCAAGCGTATCAGACTTCTACCTCCTATCACTCATCTGTGCTTCAGGTTAATCAAACTGCACTGAATCTGGTTTAAAAAAAAATATATATAACTAATAATTCTGGTAGAGTAAGATGAGTCTATTGAGGGTTTACTGTGTAGCTAAAACAGATCTGGACAAAAACAAACCAAAGAAGTTGCATGACTTTCCAGTAAAGATATGGCAGTTTAGGACAAGTTAAGTGGGTGTGTATTTCAGCTTGGTGTTCTCTTTGATGCAGATACAACAGTTACCTGTCTTGTAAGTAAGAAAAACTCTTGACATGGTAAAATATTGAAGTTTGAAACCTCAAAAAACATCCTAAATCTGTCGCTGGTGTCGAAAAGGCTCCATCAGGAGATCTGCAGGTTTCAGGAAGGCAAATTAAAGATTTTTTTTAATGTCGTCTCTAATGAAATTTAAGACTGAAAAACACTCTAAATATAGGCGATGGTTGGGGGATCCCAAGCATAGAATGTGTTTTACTCAGTGAGACACTTTCAAGTTTAATTTTTGTCTGTTTATGGAACAAAACGTGATATTCATCAGTGCTCTCTGGTTCAATGGCTGTGTGTCCAAGTTCAGTTATTTGGTTGGAAACATCCAACAAATAAAAAAGACCTCTACTGAATACAATCAAGGCACAAGGCTCAGTTGTGTCCTAATCTCCAGTTTAGCCTTCATACACAAAGATAATCAACGCAGAGCTTGAACATTTCTTTGCACAGAATGCACGTGGGCTCGTTTGGGTTGGCAACAGACGTGAGCCAGTTGTGTACACGGACGCCGTCCAGCCAACTGTCAATAAATGTGTACTTATCCAAGATTCATTTTGCAGAATAGCTAGTTAGCAAGCATCTATATTAGCAGCTAGTAAAAATTAGCCTGAGCTGCCTCGAGTTAAGTCGGTTTGAACCATAGACTATAAAAGAAAATGCAAGTTCAGAACGTGAAGAAGACACAACTCAAGGTAAAACTTTTACCTGACAGAAAAGTCCCACATAATAAATAGTCCTGTTCCGACAACTTTTGAGACCTGTGAATAACATATTTAAGACCAACTTACAATATTTTTTTATGAATTTAAGACATTTAAGGATTTAATTTTAGATACATCTTTTAAGGATGTGCGGACACTCTGTCCATTCATCTTTGATATAAATAAAAGTTCTGAGCTGAGATTATTTTCTACCAATTTCTGAAATATTATATATTTTAATGCTTCCAAATATTTCTATAAAACATCTACTACATGTGTAAATGTATGTGTGTTTGCATTCACACTTTGTGTTCCCAGTTGTGTGAAAACGGGAATAAAAAAAAGGAACATTTTTCCTTTTCCAAATCGGGTAGCTTCAGAAATAACCAAATAGATGCTCGTTATTAGAATTCTCTTCAGAGCCTTTTGTCATTCTGCCATGAAGAGGAAGAAAAAAAAGATTGCCATCTTGGATGCATCGATAACATTAAAGTAACACCGTGTTCCAAACTTTTGTGTGTCAGCCAGACAGAAGCGACTGGTCGGCTGCAGAGAATGAGCTGTTCGTACCAGGCGGCAGTTTGATTTAGCTACAGAACAAAAACTGACTAGTCGAGCAATTAAATCACTGTAATACAGAGAGCCGCTGTGCAAACATTAAATCTTACCGATGTGGGGAATTTACTGTGTTTGTGAGCACTAAAAACATCAGAGAAAAGGGTACCACTTTACAATAAGGCTCCCCTTATAGATGCTAACAAATAGTTTATAGATACATTATTATTTCCTCTATAAACACTTTATAAATCATTAATAACTGCCTATTATGCA